GATTGTGATATCTTCCTGGTGGATTTTTCCCTTGATGAGTATGAAGTGTCCTTCTCTATCTCTTTTGATTGATTTTGGTTGGAAATCTACTTTATTAGATATTAGGATGGCTACTCCTGCTTGCTTCTTGGGTCCATTTGCTTGGAAAACCTTCTTCCAGCCCTTTACTCTCAGGTAGGTAATGTCTATCTGTGTGATTTAAGTGTGTTTCTTGTATGCGACAGATTGTTGGGTCTTGTTTACGCATCCATTCTGTTAGTCTGTGTCTTTTTATTGGAGAATTGAGTCCATTGATGTTGAGGGAGATTAATGACCAGTGGCTGTTAGATCCTTTGATATTGATGTTGGCCATGATAGTGTGTTTGTGTGTTTGGCTACTTTTGTTTTGCTGTAGTGAGGTTATTTATTTCCTATGATTTCTTGAAAGTAGTTTTCTCGGGTTGTATTTTTCCTTCTAGTATCTTCTGTAATGCTGGATTTGTGTGTAGGTATTGTTGAAATTTGTTTTTGTCGTTGAATATCTTGTTTTCTCAGTCTATGAGGACTGAGAGTTTTGCTGGGTACAGGAGCCTAGGCTGACATCTGTGTTCTCTTAGGCTCTGCATGATATCTGTCCAGCTCTTTTGGCTTTCATAGTTTCTGTTGAGAAGTCAGGTGTGATTCTGATGGATTTGCCATTATATGTTACTTGGCCTTTTTCCCTTGCAGCTTTTTGTATATTTTCTTTGTTCTGTATACTTACTGTTTTGATGATTATATGAGGGAAGGATTTCTTTTCTGGTCTAATTTATTAGGTGTTCTGTAGGCCTCTTGTATTCTTATAGGCCTCCCCTTTAAGTTGGGGAAATTTTCTTCAGTGATTTTGTTGAAAATATTTTCTGGGCCTTGGAGGAGGGAATCTTCTTTTTCCTCTATTCCTATTATTCTTAGGTTTTGTCTTTTTATGTTGTCTTAGATTTCTTGGATGGTTTGTGTCAGGAAGTTTGTAGATTTATTATTTTCTTTGATGGATACATCGATTTCTTCCATTCTATCATCCACACCTGAGATTCTTTCTTCCATCTCTTGTAGTCTGTTAGTTATGCTTACCTCTGTAGTTCCTGTTTTCTTTCCTAGGTTCTCCCTCTCCATGATTTCCTCCATTTGTGTTTTCTTTAATTCTTCCAATTCTATCTTGAGATCTTGAACCGTTTTGTTGATTTGCTTCACCTATCTGACTGTATTTTCCTTCAATTCCTTCAGCTGTTTGTTTGACCATTCCTCTGTTTCTTTTATTTCTTTCAGTGACACAGACTGTTTGGCTGCATCTTCCTGTATTTCTTTATGTATGACCATAATCTGTTTTATTATATCTTCCCCTAAATCTTTATGCATTTTTATTGCTTCCTTCATTAACCTCTTCATAAGCATAGATGTAAGGTCATCTTCTTGAATATGTTAGGGTATCCAGGGCTACTTGTCCCCGGATAACTGGGTTCTGGGGATGCCATATTGCTTTGCCTTTTGTTGGTTGTGATTTTTCGCTGGCCTCTACCCATTTCTCTGTCTCAGGTGTTGTCTGTTAATTTCTGGTGCCTGCTGGGTTCTGGGGTGGGGAGAATCCACTTGGTGGGGTTCTGAAGTTCTCTTCTGCTTTTTTAGTGTGGTCAACTGAATGGTGGTGCTTCTCAGGAATTGTCACAGTTCACTTCAGGTGTATGGACCTGTGTGGTAACTGTGGTGTTCAGGTAGGCTATCCTCTCCTCAGGAGAGGTCCTGGTGATGGCTGCCCTGCTGCTGGGTTTTTTGCTCTGAATTTAGTGAGCAGCAGCTGTTGCTCTTAAGGTGTAATTGTTGGGTTCAGCCCTCTTGAAGAACCAGGGATTCCCACAGTTTTGTCAGTTTAGCTAGGGATAACTGGTTGATCCTTGGCACAGTATCTGAGGGCTGCTGTAATGGCTCTCTGGCTTTTGTAGGTCTGAGGAAGCAGCTGTGTGCCCCAGTGCCCTAGTGGTACTCAATAATGGCGGTTGCACAGCGCTCCTGCCTGCAGTAGAAGGCTAGAGCCTAAAGTCTGCATGAATCCAGAAAGTCTTTTGGTTCTGGGTGTCCTGAGCGTTAGTCTTGATGATCCCCCGCTGTGGGGTTTCCTCCTGACAGGGACACCCAGTTTTTGCTTTGGGGACAGCAGTTCTGTCTGTGATGGCGAGTAGAACCCGAAGGCACAGACTTACTTGGCTCCCCCTTTCTGTGTTCCTTGGGATTGGGTGCCTGGGTGTCTGCTGAAACTGGGTAATTTTTCCCTGAGACCTTTTCGGGGTGGTGGTATCAGCTGAGTGCTCAGAGATCAGACCAGCCATTCCCCTCCCTGTGGGTTTGCACCCGACAGAAACACACATTCTTTGGCTGTATTTTTGTAGTGGTCTGTCTGTACTCAAATCTGATTGACTTTCCAAGGTGGTATCAGTTATTAATAAAACTATGTGAACTACTTAGGTCCAAGTATAGAATATCATTGTACTAAGCAAAGAAAAGTAAGCTTGAAGTGATTCTCCGCTGATTCACAAAGGCCCTAGAATGATCTCTGAATATGTTCACCTTTCTGCATGAACTACCTCAGATAGGAAGTACATCAACATAAATAAGAGAGTGACATGGTCAGAGTTGTTCATGTAGTTCCAACTCATCAACAGACTAATTGTTTTGAAAATATTTTCATGTTTCCATTAACGTAGTGCCACAGGATGAAATAGAAAGCAGTAAATGGTCTATTATACAGGTGGGCCATATGTAGAAGAACAGTTAGAAAAAGAAAGTATCATTTATTTGCAAACCCGTAGAAATGATTTTCACGAAACTCATTCTTCTCAATTTCAAGAACTGAGATTTACAACTCAGAATTGTTCACATGATGGAGCAAATGTATTATTGTGACTCAACGTGCAAAAGCAGCACTGGCTTCAGGAAAAGACACAGTGCTGCCAGAGATCAGCTTTGTGTGTGTTTGGGCTTGTTGGAGTTGCTCAATCTCCTGCCTTCTACTACTTGCTCCAAAAGGCTAGAGGCCAGTTGCCATGGTCATTTGCTGCAACGCTCTACTTTTTCTTATATATACAGCAAGAACAAAAGTGTCTTCAGTTGTTCTCTCCAGAAGTCCTGACACTTGCCCTGATTATGGTTTGCTAGGTCAAATAATTGTTCCTGATTTAATCAATGTGACTACAAAATGTGAAGTCTACTTACAGACTTAGCCCACCTCAGATGCTGAAGCCCTGGACTGAGTCCTCAGAGTTGTTGGATTTCAAGAGGGAAGGCTGTCCACAGAAGGAAAGCACCTGCTACTTGTTCACTCTGAAGCACAGCTTGTTTATTCACTTCCATATGTTATTTACTAAGTGCCTGTTAGAAGCCAAGAATTATACTGTCTTTAACATCAAGGAAGAGGCTCCATTGGAAACTGCTAGAGTGATAGGGGGTAGTTAGATGCAAGTCATGTATAAAATTTGCTGCAATAATTGGATGTTTTTGCTTTCATTGTAAAATTGCATTTATTGTTTTGTGCATGTACGTGTGTGTGAGTGTGTTTAGGAACAGATGTGGAGCCAGAGGATTACATGTACTTGTGATTCTCCTGCCTCTGCTGCTTTAGCATGTCCTATGTTCCACCATAGCCAGCACAGAATAACTTGCAAGAGGCAGTTCTCTCCTCCAACAGTTAAGATTGTTATTGTTAGACTTGGTGACAAGTGGCTGAGTCATCTCACGAGCTCAGAAATTGGGTTTTAATATTTTATAAAACTGGAGGTCAGAGGACTACGTGCAGGAGTCAGCTTTCTTCTACCATGTGTGTTCCGGGGACCAAACTTAGGTCTTCTGAGGCTTTGTGGCAGGTGCCAACCCTTAAAATTTTTAATTAAACAAACAAACCAAAAAAATGTATTTACCTTAACAGTGTATGGTCTTAAAAGAACCAGTTTAGAATGATTGTTTTGTTTAAATAGGAACGCAGCCTTCTGGAGGTATGCTGCTTCGTCCTAATATTTGTATCTGTTTGGCCTGTGGTTTTATTGCTGGGGAGGAGATAATGGGGGCCATGAACTTACTCCTCAGCTCAACTTGACTTCTCCATTGTAGTAATTATAAGACTGTTGGTAATGGCTCTATTTAGTAGATGCTTAGCTGTCTTCTAATAGATTGTCTTAATTCATTTGTTTAGAATTGAAAATTGTACCAATATAGTAAGTTTTTAAAGTTTTGAGGGTTTGGCTTAAATGAAAATTGCTAAATTATCTAATCTGTTAAAAATTAAATGAGCTAGTCTCCTAACTTAGGTGTTTTTTAATTTATTTTGTGTGCATTTATGGGGCACACGTGTCAGGGCTTGCACATGGGAGTCAGTTCATAATGTGGGTTGCTGAGGTCAAACTCAGGTGGTCATTGGGCTTGGTGGCAAGTGCCTTTGCCAAATAAACTATCTCACTGACCCCCCCCCTTACAAATAACTTAAATACTCATCATAGTTTAGTTTATTTGAAACAACTTAATTGAAAAAGACTCGTTACTACAAATGAATGTTATATATAACCAGTCTATTAAAAAGTAGAAAATAAACTATTTAAAATAATCTATCCATATTCCGTATATTTGAAAAGACTAATAATATTCCTGGTTTATTGCTGTTGACTGAATCAGTGACAGGGCCTGGGGCAGTGGCTTAGTGGTAAAGTGCTTGCTGTGTGAAGACCTGTGTTTGAATTCCCTAGCACCCACACAAAAAGCTGGGCATAACAGTACATGTCTGTAACTGAGGCACTAATGGGCCAAAACAAGAAGATCCAAGGGGCTCACTGGCCAGCCAGTCTGACCAGTGACCTCCAGGTTCTGGCTCAAAAAATAAGATGGGAGGCTTTTTAGGAAGACACTTGATACTGACCTTGGAGAACTACCCCTGACTACTTGCCCCCTCACGGCCTCTTTTACAATCGAATTAACTGTGATTGTGGTATCTGTGTTTTGTTTAGGAACAGATGTTGTCATTGTGAAAAATGGAAGAAGAATCTGTGGCACAGGAGGTTGTCTAGCCAGTGCGCCCTTACATCAGAACAAAAGCTACTTCGAGTTCAAAATCCAGTCTACCGGTTAGTACACTTGCACTTAACTATTAAAGGTCAATTATTATGAATATTAACAATAATTGTTAACATGAAAAAATTTTAGGAAATGATTAAGAAAAAGTCCCAAACTCTGTAGACAGGGCCTCGTCTTCCACTCTTGTGCTCCAGGTTAAATCAGTTTGCTAAACTGGGTTTCATTTTTCTCTTCTATGGAATAGGAATTATAGGAGCTGCACTGTCTGCCATGTAGGAGTTTTATGTATGACAGTGTTTTAAGACAAGACATGCTGCTAGGCGTGGTGGTGCATGCATGCCTGCAATCCCAGCATTCCACAGAGGCAGGCAGACCTCTGAGTTCAAGGCCAGCCCGTTCTACAAAGCAAGTCCAGCACAGCCAAGGCTACACAGAAAAACTCTGTCTCAAACACCCACCCCACTCTCCAGAAAAGGACAGGACATGCTGAGCAGATATAAGACACTAGCATTATTAAAGGTTCTAAGGCCACTCTTACTATGTTAGACATATAAAGTATGTGGACTCTTGCTATATTTCATGTTAGGATGAAGGGTAATCTTTTGATCTGAGCTTTCCCCTTAACTCTTTTACCAAGATACTCTGGTTGTTTGTTTTCTGAAGCAGTCATCAGATACAGAATTCTGGAAGAAATCTGAAGTGTACTTCTTATGCTTGATGCTATAACAAAGTAGTCCCAGCATTTGGGAGTCCGTCAGAGGGTGGCAGGTCTCTGTAAGTTTAAGACTACCCTGGCTTACCTACTGAGTTCTAAGCCAGCGAGGGATACGTGGGGACTTGGTGCATGGCTGTGTTCTTTCCCAGCCACAGAGAGGCATGAAGTCATGGGAGGACACTGGTGTTGCAAAGTCACCCACCTCGTGAGAACCAGGAAACACAGAGTGATGACATGGAAGAGGCTGTGCAAACGTGTGGTTCCAGTAACCTCCTTCCTCTCAAACAAGTCCCAATTCCTACTTTTTACCACCTTCTAATCATGCCAGTATACTCTGACTGCACCAAGGCACTAACCCCCTGAGGAAAGCAGAACCCTCATAATGCAGTCACCTCTCTGATTAAATTCATCAATAGGGATCCACTTGGTTCTTTGTGGGGGACACTTCATAACATACGACTTCTCTTTTGCAATTTTATGGAGTTTCTTGAATTATATAACTATAATTATGTAATAGTCTGTATGACTATTAGGATCTTATAGTGATATTATGGGGAGATTTGTGCGTTTTTTGTTTTTAGTAAAAGCAATAGTATAAAGAGACCTCTGGTGAAATCTTTACAAGTGATATAAGTTCAGAGTAAGAAAACTGCAGTGGAGAGAATCCCACTCTTTGGACAATGTGGTACTTGTGTAGTTGGTTTCTTATAGTAGTTTATACTGGCTTTCTTAGGTGAATGGCATAAATCCAAGTGTCCACTGTGCTCTTTAAGTTACCGCACTGACTATTGACTGCCCCCAATATGTGCTTGCTTCTTAAAGAAGAAAAAGTGTTTGAACCTAAATCTACTAAAGATCTCGGTGTAGATGTTTCAGTGAGGGACACAATTTATAGTGCCATCCCAAGGACAGATAGGCTGTTGGAGTGTCAATGCTGTATTGGAAGTTAGAGGTTGTTAAAGAGTAAGGACACTGCAGAACCCCTCTGCAAATGTTACGAAGTTATTATTGTCAACCTGCTGTCATTCTCGTAAGTGTCTCTTTGGGGAGACAAACTATATGGTCAAAGTATCTCAGACATCAAGAGAGTAAAATCCAGCCATGCATGCATGACAGATTCAGTCAGTCCAGAAAAACGTATTAACAGCATGGAATTCAGACCTTCGTCCATGAATAGTGTTTCTTCTGATTTCAATAAAAACTGAAAAGGTAGAAGCTTGAGAAAAAGTCCAAGACTGTAGACATTTTGTTTGGCTGGGCAAGAGAATGCTTGTTTCTATAGATACAATCTGGTGGTGGAGCACTTACCTGGTGGGTGTGAGGTACTGGATTAGATGCCCAGCGTTAAGAAAATTATTTTAGATCTTATTCATGTTCAGAAATTATAAGATTGTTCATAACATACTATTACTTCTTACTCTTTTAAAAAATAATTAAAGACAGTAACCTCCCATTTCTCAGAAATGGAGATTAGACGGAGAGAATATGAATGAGTGTGTTTTGCTGTGAATTCAGCCCAAGGCCAAGACTACCATGAAGCTATATTTACTCCCCTAGCCCCACAGTGCTAAACACAAAAACTAAAACCTTAAGAGAAAATAGTAATGGTAAAGCCAGCTCAGTGTCTTCTCTACTTACTTATTTAAAAAAAAAAAAAAAATGTAACTGAAGGTCTGAATTCTATGCTGTTAATACTTTTTTCTGGACTGACTGAATCTGTCATGCATGCATGTCTGGATTTTACTCTCTTGATGTCCGAGATACTTTGACCATATAGTTTGTCTCCCCAAAGAGACACTTAATGAGAATGACAGCAGGTTGACAATAATAACTTCGTAACATTTGCAAAAAGTGCTGTATTTGAGTAGTCCTGTATTTTTTCCTTACCTTGTATCTTAGTTATGAGTCTATGCTGTGAAGGAGACACCATGACCAAGGCAACTTATAAAAGTAGGTATTTAATTGGGGTCTTGCTTATAGCTCAGAGGGTGATCATCATGGCAGGGAGCCTTGTGGCAGGCAGGCAAACATGGTACTGGAGCAGTAGCTGAAAGCTTACATCTTATTTATAGGCAGGAGGCAGAGAGAGAGAATGGGCCTGTCGTGGGCTTTTGAAACCTCAAAGCCTACCCCCAGTGACATACCTCCTCCAACAAGGTCACAGGCCAGACCTAAGCCTGCCTAAACAATCTACCAACTGCAGACCAAGCATTCAAATGTATCAGCCCGCTGGGGCCATTCTCATTCAAACCACCACACCTTGTAAGTACTTAGACCAGCAGATGAAGTTCAGTACCGCCCAACATAACAAAACTGTGATTGTTTCAAGATTCTGGTGGGGGTGTGAAAATCAGAGGTCAATCTTAGAATAGGTGACTCTGTCCTCCTTCCTCTTTGACTTGGGTTCTGAGGTTCAAACTCAGGTTTTCAGGCTTGTCACTTTATCTGCTGAGCCATCTCACTGACCTTGGAACCCACTTTTTAAAAGGTTGGTTTTAATAACAGAAGCAACTAACAATGGTATATACCCTTGACCGCAGCACTGAGGGTGCCCAGGCAGGCAAATCTTTTGCGTTCAAGGCCAACCTGGTATATATACTTAGTTCCAAGTCCAAGCTAGCCAGAGTTGCACGGTGAGACCTGCTGGAAAAGAAAGGAAGAAGGAAGGCAAAAGAAAAAGAAAAGCAGTTGATACTCCCTTTTAAAATAAAACCTTTTATACTTGTGTTCTTCACACTTGTGATGTATTTAAACTTTTATTTGTAGGAATCTGGGGTATAGGTGTTGCAACTCAGAAAGTTAACTTGAACCAGATTCCTCTTGGCCGAGATAAGCATAGTCTGGTGATGAGAAATGATGGAGCCCTGTACCACAACAATGAAGAGAAAAACAGGCTGCCGGCAAACAGCCTTCCTCAGGAGGGAGATGTAGTGGTGAGTGTTGCTGTCACTGTAAATTATTAAACCTGAGCTGTGTTGACTAGATGTGGTTTTACGTGGCAGGTTATGACTTGTATTACAAAGCCCTGGGATTGAGTCTAATGAGGTGGCCCCATTTCCAGAGAGAGCCTTGCCAAATACTGCTCCCTCACGCCATTGCTCTGTCCTTTTTGGAGTTTCTAGCAAACCAGGACATGAGGGTGGCTGACCCTGTATTTTCATGTAGCAAGATCGTTGGCTGCTAAACAATATTCCACTGTCACAGAGAAACCTTGACATACAGTTTATTTATTTATTTATTTATTTATCTATCTATTTATTTATTTATTTATTTATTAATTAATTATTTGCTTTTTTTTAAGGCAGGGTTTCTCTGTATAGCCTTGGCTGTCCTGGACTTGCTTTATAAACCAGGCTGGCCTCAAACTCACAGAAATCCCCCCTGCCTCTGCCTCTCTGAGTTCTGGGATTAAAGGCGTACACCTCCACACCTGGCTGACATAAAATTTTTAAAGTTTTTCTGATCATACTAGAGGATATTAGGTATTTTTGAGGCCAGAGATTTCTCAGAATGTTTCATATTTATTAATGTTAGGAACATATTTGAAACTATAGCAAGTGTTCATCTATGTTAAATCCAATCTTATTAAATAACTCTAACTTTCAGAACCCTTCAGAGAACTGGACTCAGAAATTCCAAGGGTTAGAGCAGAGCACGGCGGCACATAGCTTTAATCACAGAGAAGGTAGAGGCAGGGGCATCTCTCAGAGTTCGAAACCAGCCTAGTCTACACAGTGAGTTCCAGACCAACTATGTCTAGTGAGACCTTGTCCAAAAACACTCTCAAAGGCTGCTTAGGGAAGTTTGTATTTTTGTTTTGTTTTGTTTCAGTTTTGGTTGGTGGTGGCGCTAGTGCTTTTAGCAAGTTCTAGGACAGCCCGGGCTATATAGCAAGATCCTATCTCAAGAGAGAAACAAAAAGGTTAGTTGCTAAAGAAAAAGAGACAAAAGGCATAAACTGTTTTAAAATCTGCTTTTCTTTTTCTTTTTTAAGTAGTTGTATGTCGGTTAGTTTTTGTTGTTTTATCAAGTTGACAGAAGCTTGGATCATCTGGGAAGAGGAAACCTCAATTGAGGAAGTACTTATGTCAAATTGGTCTGTAGACAAGTCTGTGAGGGATTTTCTTGATTAATGATTGGTGAGCATGGGGCCAACCAACTGTGGACATGGTGCCCTAAAAACAAGTGGTCTTGGGTCCTATCAAAATGTAAGCTGAATGAACCATGGAGAACAATCCAGTTAGCAGCACTCCTCCATGCCTCTGCTTTACTTCCTGTCTCCAGGTTCCTACCCTGCGTTCTTGCCTTGACTTCCCGTCATGATGGAGTGTATAAGCTGTGAGATGAAATAAACCCTTTCCTCCTCAAGTTCCTTTTGGTCACGGTGTTTATCAGAGCAATAAAAAGCAAACCAAGACTAGTTGACTTTTTATGTTTTAGGTCATTGCCAGATATCCACAATATGGATCATCCTTATATAAATAATTTATTGGGCAGGATCTCCCTTTGCAGCCCTGACTGGCCTAGAATTTGCTGTGTAGACCAGGCTAGCCTAGAAATCACAGAGGTCTACCTGCCTCTGCCTTTTGAGTGCTGACATCAAAGAAATGTGCCACCATGCCCAGCTTATTATTTAAAAGAGATTTTTTTTTCTGTCAAAGTTGAGGCTGTCAACCTATTTATAATAAAAGTTGAAACAGATGTCTTCTTCATTGTAATCCTGAACTTCTGCATATTTTGCCTTTCTGTCCCATCTCATTCATTGAGATGACTGATACCACAAATTGACAGATCTAAGAATGCCACTGTTAGTCTGTCAACATAATTGAATTAGACTTTGAGCTTTCATGCCCATTCTGATAAAAAAAAAAAAAGATCTAAAATGTTAAGTATATGCATAATCAAGAAAGCTGACCCACGTCTTCCTCATCTGAACACTTGGTTTTCAAAACTGTCAACAGTGGCAGCAGGAGCAGCTGACAGGAAACTATTCTTGTGTTTCATGGTGTGGCTGTTGCAGACTCAAGGTTTTTACATCATATAGAAAGCAGGCTAGGTTAGAACAGAACTTGAACTGAACTTGGCTGGAGGAGATGAAAGAGATTCTTAACATCCTTCCAAATTTTGGGGTTTTGTTATTCTGATCGGTGCCTAATTTATCACTTAACTTGCAGTGGGCTGTGGTGCCACAGGCAGTGAGGAATGTCTGGACTCAGTCCCATAAAGAGAACCGTACATTCTTTTCTATGTAATTATGTTTTGAGTTTTTAAAAATGAAAACAGACCTCTTTACTAGAAATGTGACAAGCGTATTTTTAGGGTTTTTAAACTAAAATGAAACAAACCATTACTACATCATTGTAGTAGGATTGATGGTTCATGTCTATAATCATAGCACTTAAGAGGCAGAAATAAGAGGATCACCTCAAATTCAAGGCCAGCCTGAGCTCTATATACTGAGTTCCAGGCCAGCCAGGGCTACTGAGTAAGACTCTGCCTCAAATCAGTTATGCAGTGTTTATTTGATTGTATATTAAGATAGGGCCTTGTGTAGCCCAGGCTGGCCACAGACTTTCTAAGTAGCTGTGTAGGATGACCTCTGTCTTCTGAGGTCCTGCCTCATGCCAAGTTCTAGTTTCAGCGGTGCTAGGGATCAAACTCAGAGCTTTGGACGTGCTGGAAAACATTCTGTCAACTGAGTACATTCCCAGCCCCCAAGTCATTGTTTAACTGTAGCTTTGCTAAAATTTGAGTAGTTCTTTATAGCCCTTACCACACCGACTCTCCTGAACCTTTGCTGAGAAAGGGAGTTGAAGCTAGGTAATGAATACATCGACGAAGTCATTCAAGAAAGCATCTGAGTTTGTCTGTTGTTAGTTGACCCAGATCCAGTTATCCAGAGACCCACAGAAGCAGTCTCCTGCATACTCCTACTTGGTTTCTTGTTTGTTTTTATTGCTTTCTTGTTTTGTTTTGTTTATTATTTGAAAGAGCTCTCTGGCCTCTATTCTTTCTTTTTAAAAAAGACTGGCATGCAGGCGCACATGCAGTACAAAACACTATATATAATAAAGAAATGTTTTTAAATGACTGTTATTGTTGTGCTGCATCTCAAATCTTAGGTCTCATATGTAGTAGGCTGCCTTCCCAGCCCTAGTTAGTAACTCTAAGTTGAATATGCCTTACCTGAAATGCTTGGGACTAGAAAAGTTTCCAACTTCAGGGTTTTGTTTGATGTTGGAATTTTTGTAAGTACAGAGTGAGATTTCTTAATGTGAAAGGACCAAGGCATGGAATCCGCCTACATGCACACCTGGGAAGTTATTTATACTATATATTTTGTTTTGTTGCAATATGTGTGGGGGTCGTTTTTCCTGTAGGTATGTGCAAATGTACATTCCTGGTGCCTGTGGAGGCCAGAAGAAGGTTTCCAATCCTCTGAATCTGGAGTTAGACCTGCCACGTGGCTGTCCTCCCAAGAGCAGGCAGTGTGGCTGTGAGCGTGTCTCTGCAGTGCAAGGATTTTAGAACTTTATTTAAAGTGAACTGTGGGGTGGCTCGCATGTCACATGGAACTGGTAGTCATCAGAGGACAGTGTAGGAGTTTTCTCCTCCTGCCATTTGGGACCAGGATCAGATTCAGGCTTTGTGGCAAGAACATTTACCCTGCGGAGCCATTTTGTAGGCCCAGTTTTTCACAGTATTTTTAGTGTGCTTTTATTTTGACTCTGACCCATCATATGAGATCAGTTCTGGAATTTTCTATGTGTGGTACAGTAGTGTAGTCTACGGGCTCAGAAAGTTTCAGGTTTTGGAGCCTTTCATATTTTTGAATAGGGATTCCAACCTGTACTGTAGAATGTTTTAAGAAAAGGAATATGTGGCATCGTGAGTAAGAGTGTCTTCAGCCAACATTTTGGTTTAAATGTCAGTTCTGCCACTTTCTAGCTGTGCAGCCTTAGGTAAGTTACTTCACCTTTCTGTGCTTCAGCTGCCTCATCCATAAAATGGATATAACTGTCTTGTGAGTGTTAACTGACTAAATATGAAATGTCTAGAATAATGCCTCGTAGGGCCGGCTGTCTCAAATGACCGCTAGAACTGCAACAGTATGACTAACGTCATTTCCTAGCCATTATTAGTGTATATAGCAATGCCTTTTTATTCTTATTTAAACTATTCTTTTTAACTAGGTACTCACCATCATTCATATTAAACTGTAGATACTGGTTTTACTTGCAATCTGGGTAAAAAGAGAGAAATGTATTAATTTCTTATAAATAACTTATTTAGGAATAACTTTGTGGGTAAGAGCACTTGTTTTTCCAGAGACCTAAGTTAGTTCCTGGTACCCATACTGGGCAGCTTACAGCTACCTATACCTCCAGCGGCAGGAAATTCAACACCCTTTTCTGGACTTCTTGGATACCTGTCTGCAGGGTTTCTCTGTGTAGCCTTGGATGTCCTGGACTCACTTTGTAGACAAGGCTGGCCTTGAATTCATATTGCTCCACCTGCCTCTGCCTCTTTGAGTGCTGGGAGTACAGACCGCCATGCCTGGCTCAGATTGTCAGTTCTAATAAAAGCTCCTGTGACCCCATGCTTTGTGTCTGTGAGCATGCTTCTCAGTCAGTGCTTTAAGTTATTTAGGTTTTTGTTCAACAGTTATTTTTCTATCCTTAAATTTTTTTCTTTCCTTCATAGGGTATAACATATGACCATGTCGAGCTAAATGTGTATTTGAATGGGAAAAATATGCATTGTCCAGCATCAGGTATACGAGGGACAGTGTATCCTGTTGTATATGGTAAGCTAAGATGGTACTCATCTATTGGTATATCCATGTTAACTGTTGTTTGCCATTTATGTTAGTTTTGTAGTTAACATTCAGAAGTCTGAACAAGTTGTTAATAAGGACATTTTATCTGGAGTGTACTCAAACATTCCATTATCTCTGCAGAATTAAGGTTTATGTTTATTCACTACATACTATAAAAGTTTCCTGAGTACATAGTGATTGTAATTAAACACCCACAACCATGTCCCCTTTTATTCTATCATTTGCTTTTTTACATTTTTCATGGGATCTGTGTTTTGCCTGAATGTGTCTGTGCACCACACATGTGCCTGGTACTGGAGGATACCAGAAGCACTGGAGTTACATATGGCTTTGAGCTGCCAGGGGGGTCCTGGGAACTGAACCCTGGTCCTTTGGAAGAACAGCAAGTGCTTTTAACCACCAAGCCGTTCTTCCAGGCCCTTATCTACAAATGTTTTTCTACAATTACTAAGATAGATGAGTTGACCAAGAAATGAAATTGTAGCACGTATTTTGGAACTAGGAAATTTTATGTGGATTGAACATTTATTACATTGTAAGATTACCTAAACATTGTCACTCTTCTGAGAGAAATTTTGACTTAGAATAGTTTCAGATTAGCTTTTGTTTTTGATAGCCACGATATATAAGTGCTATCATTTTCTGTATAGTTGGTCTCTAAAATTAGGCTGTGTTGATGACTCGTAATTCCTTTAATTTTTTATTATGGAAAATTTCAAACATTCAAGAAAGAGAATATTATTATAAGCCATCATGTACTTGAATTATCTGTTTGTAGCCATGCAGGTTTCATCAAATCAACACTTCTTTTTTCACTCTTTCTTGAACTATTTTGAGGCATATTGCAGACATACCATTTTGTTAATAAATATTTTATACTTATCTGTAAAAGCTAAGGTCTTAAGCCAGGAATGGCGACACGCACCTTTAATTTTAGGACTTGGGAGGCAGAGGCAGGTGGAGATACACAGGAAGACCCTGTCTCCAAAAAAATCCCAAAAAATCAGGGGCTAGAGAGATGGCTCAGTGGTTAAACACAGCCTAGAGAGAGAAAAGACTGTGCAGCCCTGAGGTATACTAACAGAGCCAACACTTGAAGGCTAATCTAAGCTTGCAGTAGTTTCTGAAATTCTTTTTCTTTGCAATGGTCATTTTGTTTTGTCACCATCACGGTCAAGATAATGAACATATATATCACCTCAGAGTTTCCTCCTGCTCTTAATAATCTGTGGCTCCGACCTCTCCAACCAAGTTCCCAGCAGGCAGCTGTGAGTCTGGTACTGCTCACTTAGATTAGCTTGCATTTCCTAAGTATTACGTAAATAGAATCAGACGCTTAATACTCCTTTCTGGTGTAGCTTCCCTCACTCAGCATAAGTAGTTAAGATATAGATTCATCCATGTTTCAGCATATATCGCCTTTTTTTTTTTTTTTTTTTGCTCTGTAGTAAAAGCCCATGTGCCTGTAGCTATTAGGCTTCTTTGTGATTTTTGATCATTATATGTAAACCTGCTGTGAGTGTTTGTACATATATACATATATACATGCACATAAAAATAGAATTAAAACACTTAAAATATTATGTTAGGAAAGTCGTTTCTGTTTACATTGTTCAATGGTGCTAGAACCCAGGAACGTTGCTAAGCAGGTGCTCTGTCACGAGTTACCCCTGCCTGAAAAGAGGGTTTCATAATTATGCGTGCCTTCTAACTTAATTTCCTTCTTTTTTGCCTTTCTAGTTGACGACAGTGCAATTTTGGATTGCCAGTTCAGTGAGTTTTATCATACTCCTCCACCTGGCTTTGAAAAAATATTATTTGAGCAGCAGATCTTCTGAACGAGTCGGTTTTCAAAACTTGCGCTCTGCACCGTCACACGAGTGCTCACCACTTAATACCGCTCCCCCTGATCCAGAAATAAGAACACACTCTGAAAACTGAGCTTCTTTTGTTGTCTAAGGAACCCATATAGTCATTCATTATACCATCCTGAGGTTTGATTTCAAAGATTTAGGCAACTTATTTAATCTTATTTAAACAAATAAACCATGGGTTTGATTAACAGTATTATGTGGTAATATGTATATAAATATTTAAAGGGAATTTTTCTTATATAAAGTATTTGTTTGACAATGATGTGTAATTGAGTGTGTTTTGGGTTTTTGTTTTTTGTCATTCTGAACTTGAGTCACCACAATCTGTAATCCAATAATTTTGTGTACTTGTCCCTTTTGATAAAATGAAATGGCCGGAACTTATATACCTGGCAGCTTAGTTTGGCTAATGTATTTCCTCTGATGATAGAGCACTTTTCTTAAAACTGAAACTGCTTCTTTTGCTGTGTTATATCACTGCTTTCTGTTGCCTTTCTGAAAGATGAGAGATTAGTTATCAGTATCTTGTTGAAGACCATCAAGCTGTTGAAGTAGTGATTGATTGTCCACAGGACACTGGCAGACATATAGAAGAGTTATGATGCTTTAAATATAAGTGAGCCAAGTATGGTGGATGCACCTTTATTCCCAGCGTGTGGGAGACACAGGCAGGTAGCTGAGTGTGAGGCTAGCCTGGTCTGTATAGAGAGTATTATTAAATACCAGGACAACCAGGGCTGTGGAGGGAAAAGCTATCCAAAAAAAAAAAAAAATCTAATTGTTTGTTTGCTGTAAAGAATAATAAAGACTTATGAAGGAATATTCAGTGTTGTATTTAAAACATTCTTCATTTTTTGTTAATTCTATGGTAATTTTAGAAGTTTTGAAATAAGTGAGTCCTGATGGTACTGAGCCTTTGATCTTCACTGTCCTTTAGTAACGTCCAGACTGAAGCAATCCCATCTTCAAGCAATTACATCCTTTTCTCAAATCAGCATAGTCAAGACAGGCCACAACGAGTCCTGTGGTATACGGGGAAAGGGAAACATGGGTGCTAGAGTGCAGACAACAGTTGCCCAGTGTCCTTCTGCCCTCTGCTGGGTTTCTGAGGGCCCACCTTACACAAAGGGTGATCATACTGACTTGCTGAGAGTCTGTGACTATTGATGCTGTGTGAAGGGCTTCAATTATCAGCCCCTAAAAAACACGGTTGCCTTTGCTGTAAAGCAGGGGCTTTCAGGGTGTCTCAGAACAGCAGAATCACTGGGGAACTCCCTAGACGAGGGGACGTTCTCAGACTGAAGCAGAGATTTAGGAGTGCATTAGGAACCTGTGCACACTAGACTGAAAGGGTCTGTGTAATGTAATTGTCTAAGGATTTCAGGCAGACCTGTTTAATCCTAGAAACTATGGAGTTCTTCACGACGCATATGTGTTTTTCGGTAGACAAACATTTGATAACGTGCTTTGCAAACATTTTTACACAAAAACCGACATTTTACCTCTGAAGATTCATAGAATTCATATTGTATGTGCTATTTATTCATTTTCATCTGACTCTGTTTTAGTAATTCTGATTCACAACATGTTTAACTGGGTGTGGTGGCACAAACAGTAAACCAGCCCTTGAAAGACCAGGGAAGGAGGCTCACATTTAAGGCCAAACTAGACTATTTACTGAAATGCTTCCTGTCTCAAAATATAGAAGGCGGAGAGGAGGAGGTAGGATATGTGGAAAATAGAACTCTCTACTTTCAGTGTGGTCCTAATACATCCACCTGCTAGTTACGTTTTTAGATTCGTTTTGAATGTCTGTGTGTATGTGCACGTGCATGCAGGCACAAACGGTAGTCCATGAGCGCTTCAGACCACCAAGCTGGAGTTACATGCAGTTGTGAGTTGCCCAGTGTGGGTCTTGACAACTAAATTCCAGTCCTCTGCAAGAGCAGCAAGTGCTTTTAATGGCTGAGCCATAAGAAACTCTTAGTTATATTTTTAAAAGTTAACTTTTTAAAATCATCACATTCTTTTTTTTTCTAATGTTGCGTTTATTCTTTAACAATCATATACATGTATACAATGTATCTTTCTTGCCATTTTTTGTCCTGTCCCTCGGGACTTAGTTATTCGTGGGGGCGAAGGGGGTCAATCCTGAAAAAGATGGGGGAGAGAGAGAAAGGACACAAGCAGACGGTTGCCGGTCAAGTGTCAGCTTTATTGAACTTTGGTGTTTCTTTTAAAACGTGGTTCTGGCAGGGCGGGGGAGAGGGGCGAGAGAGGGGAGTAGTAGTGGAAAAATACCAAGGCCCTTGGTGGGAAGTCCCCAAGGCTAAGAAGGTGGGTTAAAGAGTTACAAGGCCCGAAGATAACATCGGTGGTCACATCGGTGGTCACGGATGTGTCCCAAAGCAAACAGTTTCGGGAACAATGGGTCGTAAGAAGCTATGGCCTGCTGGCGCCCGGTGCTTATCCGGCAGGTCAGGCCCTTAGGAAGGGTCCCAGGGCTTTGTTCCCAACAATTTTTCTTTTATTTTTGATATAATTACATCATTTCCCCTTTTGTTTCCTCCCTCCAGACCCTCCCATATATTCCTCCTTGTTCCTTTTCAAATTAGTGGCTTTTTTCCCATAAGAGTTGCTATGTGCGTATATGTATATATGTGTATATTCCTAAATGTTACCTCAGTCTGTATAACGCTATAATGTATCGTGTTAGTAACTGTACATGTTTTCAGGGCTGACCATTAGGTATTGGATAACCAACTGGTGTGCTCTCCCCTGGGAAGGCTGTTTCTCCCACTCTACATTCCTTAGTCACATGTAGTTCCTTGTGTAGGGTTGAGACCATGCCATCTTTCCTTTGTCCACTTTGCCTTGTCCATGTTGTTGTTATTCAGCTCAGGTTTAGTCAGTCATGTTAATGAGACTTTCAGGGTGTAGTTTCTGATGTTACTAGGGGACCCAGTCCCACAGGAAACTCTTTGATCTTCTGGCTCTTATACTCTTTCCACCCCCTTTTCTACAATATTCCCTGAGCCTTAGGAGTGTGAGTTGTCTTGTAGATGTGTCCATTAGGACTGTGTTCCCCAGCTCTGCACTTCAGTTGTTGTGGTTTTCTGTGGTGGTGTCTATTGCAAATGGATCTGTTGTAATGGACCTGTTGCAAAGAGAAGTTCTCCTGAGGGATGAGGACTACACTCATAACTCAAGATTAGACCTAGGAGCCTCCAGTAAATGAGAACATGTGGCGTTTGTCTTTCTGGGCCTGAGTTACCTTACTCATTGTGATCCTTTTATCCATTTAACCTGCAACTTAAATGGTTTTATTTTATTTACAGCTGAATCGCATTCCAACATGTACCACATTTTCATTACCCCACTCAGTGGTTGAGGACATTTAGGTTGTATCCATGTCCTAGCTATTATGGCTAGAGCAGCAATGAATATGGCTGAGCAAGTATCTGTGGGACAGGATGTAGAGTTCTTTGGTCATATGCCAAGGAGTGGTATGGCTGGGTCATATGGTAGATTTCTTTTAGATTCTTTTTGAGAGTTCTCCATACAGATTTTCACAGTGGCTGCACCTGTTTGCCATCACACCAACAGTGGGTGAGGGTTCCCTTTCCCCCATCCCCTTCAGCATTTGTTATGTGGGCTGTTTTGACCTTTGCTACTCTGCCTGGGATAATAGTTTTATGAAGTCCTATCTGCCAGATGTTAGCCTTACTCCTTGGGTAAACGGAGTCCCACTAACGAAGCCCATTTCTACATCTATAACATGAAGCATACTGCCTTTTTTTTTTTTCTAACAGTTTCGGGTTTTACTTTCAGGTCTTTGATCCATTTGGAGTTAGTTTCTATGTGTGATAATTACCTAATTTCATTCTGTATGTGGGCATGCAGTTTTCTCAACACCATTTGTTGAAGATGCTTTCTTTTCTCTAGCTTATGTTTTTGGCATCTTTTTTTCAATTATTAAGTGGCTGAAAGTACATGTATTCATGTTCGGATCTTTGATTTTGTCCCATCGGTCCACATGTCTGTGGTAGTACCATATTGTTTTTATTACGATAGCTCTGTAATGTATCTTAAGATCTGGAATTGTAATTGTGCACTGTTATTTTTGTTGTTGTTGTTCAGGATTGTTTTGGCTATATGGGGTCATTTTTTGTTCTGTATGAGTTTTTAGGGTGGCTTTTTCTTTTTCTGTGAAGAATGATATGACTTTTGATGACTTGAGATTACATTGAATTTCTAAATAGCTCTTGGTAAAATGGTAATTTCCATAATATTTACCAGTGTATAAGAATGGTATGTCTTTCCATTTTTAGTGTCTTCCTCTACCTCTTCTTTCAGGGGTTTAAGGTTTTCATTGCAGAGGTCCATCACTTCCCTGGTTAGGTTTTTCTTCTCTGTATGCTTGTTGGTGGTGTATAGCAAAGGTATTAATTTATGCAAACTGATTTTGTGTCCTGCCACATTGCTGTATTTGTTTATAATTTCTAGAAGTTTTGTGGTAGAAAGGGTTGATCTTTAAATTCAAAAGTAGATTTTTTTATTGAATTGAGTACACCAGAATTTGGTGCATATATGTTTAGGATAGTAATGTCTTTTTGGCTTCTCCCTTGATAAGAATGAAGTATCTCTTCATATCTTCTGATTAGTTTTAATTTGAAGTCTATTTTGTCAAATTTTAGGATAGCGATGCCTGCTTTTTTCCTGATCTCATTTGATTTGAGAACCATTCTCCATCCTTTTACTCTAAAGCACCTATTTTTAAAGCTAAGATGTGTTTCTTCTAGACACTGATGGATTTTGTTTCTTGATCACTCAGTAAGCCTGTGTGAAGAACTGAGGCCACTGCCCGTACTCAGGAGTGGGTTACCCATAGCTCAGGGTGCTAACATTGCCCACGTGATAGTAGAACATTATGACTTCACTTATAGCTATGAGGTTTTATTTACTGTTTTGGCATCATTCTAGAGTATTCTGTTAGAGTCATATCCAGTAGAATTTTTTCCCAGTGGAATGCTGCTTCCATTTGACAGTTAGATGCACAGAACTCAGCACAGTGGAGTAACAGCAGCGCTTCCCGTTGCTTATAGGCCAGCATGTCCGGGGGAGGATGGTGAGCAGTGAGCACCTCCCAGGCGTTCACTATGGCTGGGCATTGCAAGTAGATAGAAAATGGAGCAGACAGCTAACTAATGATAGCAAGAATAAGAAAGCAACAGTTGTAGGTCCAGGGGGAGAAAAGGGCCTGGTGCATCATTCCTTTCAGAAAAAGGTTTTTTAGGATAAAGGGCCTGAAACCAAGGACTGAACCTCAAGAAAGGTTCATTAGACATTAGACAGGATATAGTAAAATATGTTAAAAGTAGAAGGCCTTTAAGGGGATAGAAGGGCTTCTCCTTAAAACCTGGAGGGGAGCTTCATCAGGATTGAGAGTAAGGGAAGGATAGGGAGAGATGACATGAAAGGATGTGGTGGGGGAGGGGGCAGGCAGTGGCCAGAGCAGTCCTCAAACAACCCCAGAACAGAGGAAATACCAAACTTTGATGACCTGGGGAGCTTGTTAGTTTTCCCTTCTCTTCCCCAAATTGAGGGCATTGGTCAAGACCCTCAGCATCAGATGGACATGGCCAAACCTATTGACATCAACTTCACATTGGCAGGGAATTTCACATCATGTGCTTTAGTTTGACATACCCTAAGTGACAAAGTCCATGAGAATCCAGGTATTGATTAGGGGAAAAACTTAGAGCCTGCTCTTAGGCCATAGCACAGTGGCTTACCTCTCCATGTCCTAGGAACTAGGGGGA